TCATTACAATTGCCACTGAAGAACCAGAAATTGTGGAAAGTGAGCTTTGTTTCAGGAGAATATGGAAAGCATCACTTTAACATTATTGTCCCTCCCCGAAATGTAAAGAAAGGCTTTTTTTTTTTTTTTGATCCTACACATCCTGGTGGGGTTCTGGGAGTAACAAAAACATGAAGGTGGTGGACCATGATTTTGTAAGCCCATAATGGACAATAGCTTTTGTCCTTCCAGTACCCTTTTGAGGGAAACTCTTTCCTAGTCATGTTGTGCTACCTGGTCTCTGTCCAATTAACAGAGATGAGTGTGCTTCTCCCCTCTTGTGCTTCTGTACTGTTAAAAAAAGGAGAGAAGAATGAGCAAACCAATGAAAAGGCAATGTCATCAACCTGAAAGATAGTGAAATGATTTGGATCCACTTGGTGTGATACCTCAACCTAATGGCGTATATAGAAAGGATAAATGAATTGCTGCCCTAAGCAGACTAGCTGTCTCTAAATGCATCACTCCTTGATACTTTGAAGACAGAAAACAAATAATCTAATTAAAATGGCAGTAAATCATTCTGTCACTCCTCCATCAAAGGCATGAATTAAAGCTGTGGGAGAGCTTTGCATTCATCACCCATAGCCAGCTTTCAAGGCCTACTGGAGACTTTTCTTCTCTTTGCTTGAACTATGGAAAGAAGCAATTCCGCTCTGAATAGGCCCATAATTTGTGCATCCCCAAATTTGGCTTCCTTACAGCAATGAGCTTGCAATTAGTTGGAAATGCCAGCTTTCTGAACAACATAAAATCAGAGCAAGGTTTATTAACAGCAGCGTGCAGAAATGCTGGAAATGGTAAAGAAGGCAGAACACAAACGGAAAACAAAGAGGAAGGAAAATTTCCTTGGGGTAAAGTAATGGGTGTCTAATGTATCATATAGGAAAATATGGTAACTGTATATACTAATAAAACTGAAATGGTTTTCCTTAAGGGATCTTCCATTATTCCAAATAGCTGCATTCTTTCTTAAGTCCTCTCCAACCTTTTTTTTTTTAAATCATATTTTGGATGAGATTAGTCACGGCACAATGGAAACTATATACTGTTGAACATATGATGAATTCTGAGACATATGCATTTTACAAGCTAGAAGTCTGCAGCTAGTCAAAGGGTAATGGCTAATTTTGCATGCATAAGAACAAAACTGTTTATATGCAGCAACCATGGACTGAAAAAATCTATGAGAGATCACTAGTAAGTAAAACAGGGTTTTGCGAGCAAAAGACAATTTCAGCTGCTGGTGACTTCAGTTCAAAGGTCCAGGTGGTCAGAGATGGAAAGAAATACTGGAATGCACTAACAAAGCCAACAGTATCAGCTTAGATGAGTAAATAGTCCAATCCACTATCAAGCACGGCTGAATGATGCATAGCATCTATGATTAGGAAGGTGTGGGTCCTCAAAAGTCAATTTCACTGTAGTGAACACTTTGAGAGCTCCAGCACTCTACTGTTAGACTTTTTTTTGGTTTTAATTCAACAGAAATATTTGCCAGACCACATGGACAAGGAGGATTACATTTCCTTTTCTTAAAAAAAGGAATTTCTTCCAAATCTGTTTAATTTTTAAAACTTCTGGCACATTTTGAGCATTGAGGGCTCTTTTTTGGCACTTTCTGAATTGATTATGTGATGTTAGATGGCTTTCATTCCTGGGCAGACAAAAGCAATAACCAAGGATCAAGGGTAGGCAAGCTTTTTAAAAAATCACTTGAGCCCTACATTCAAAGCAACAGCAGTTAGATTTTCCTTGAAGCCTTTTAATTGGTTAAGAGCAGTGTCTGGCAGTGGAAACCCAGATGGAACAGCGTATCTAGCAGAAAATGAATTCCAAGTGAATTCTCTCATACTCTGGCAGATAACATTTTTTTTTAATTTAAAGGACTTTTCCCCTCAAACAAATAAACAAGCATCTATCAGCTTATGCCAGCGATTCCTTGTGGCATTCCTTTGGATTGGGGTTCTGCAAATAACTGTAATTAGTTTACCGTTAGAATCCACAGGTTTGGTGTAATGCTTTAACTCTTCATGTCTCTGATCTACCAGCTCTGCAGGTGCCTTCGTGGTGGCTGTGTGGAAAATAAGCTATGAAAAAAACACGAGGCATTATATCTGTGGACGGCGTTCTTTGTAAAACGAAGATCTGAGGGACTGCCTACTTCTAGTTGTTTCTGCCTGCCTGGTACGTTCTGGCAGAGTGGGTGTGCTGCAGGCCCCCTCCATTAAACTTTGTCATCTTGTGGGACTGAGGAAATGTACCTTCTCGATTGTGCCCCTGCCTTCTGGAACAGCATCCCCCAAGACAGGCACGGTGCTTGCTCTCCTGGGGTTCAGAAAGCCCTGAAGGGCCGGCTCTGTTCCCAGGTCTGGGGTTACTGTGTTTGTGGGGCCCTTATTGGTGGTTTATTGTTACTGATATGGCTGTCTTTAGCCCAGACTGTCTGTGTTCTTTTATGTTTTTAACTGTTTTTACTGTTACCAAGTCCATCGGAGTGGGCAGCCATAACAAATTTAAATGTATAAATAGTAAGGGTAACTATAGCTAATAAACCCTGTAAACTAAGGGCAGCTGTAGTGTCCTACAACTGACAAACCACTGAGTTGTTACGTTTTGACATTTTCTGGCTTCAGCTTGGACAGTCCTAATTCAGTTATCCAGAATCCATAGCCTGAGTCATACTAAGCAATAATGAGGGTTGTTTGGTCTTGGCTTAGCCTGATGTGTGACTCTACCCATTATGGTGTACAGATTAGGCCACTATAGTTTGTTCAACAAACCAGGATTTTAAGAAATTCTAGTTTAGATATTTGGGGAAATGTAGCTATTATATTAGCAAGATGGAACTTCCTAGAGGTACTCCACAGTAATCTGTATGTATAAGTGAAAGTATTGCTGGTAATATTCAGTGGAGCAGCATCCATGGTGTTTGTGTGTGTATGTGGTAAAATTGGCAAAATGGCAGATGGAACATTGCCCTTTTTGTACAAGTGTTGACACATACATGTTCAAAAGCGATGGTGCTTACATCTTAATGCTCCATCCATGGTCTGGCCCATTTTGACCTCCCCTCCATGGATGCTACTAGTCCAGTGGAGTGTATGCACAAATATTTTGCCCTTGCCATCTCTGAAGGTAATTGGCATGCCAAATGTCCCAGGTTAATTCTGCTTTAAAAAAAAAAAGCAAGAAAGTTAATGATATTCTGATATTAGTTATGGATTTTATTAGTTATCGATTTTAATTCTAAGTGCTGAAACAACAGGTTAATCATAACAATAGCAGTATGTCAGTAGAGGTCTTACAAACTGTGAGAGGGATAAACTTTATTTTTTTTTAAGTTCTGTTTTTTTTTTAATTGACAATATGTTTCTGATTTTTTTTAATATTTATATTCTGGTTGGAGGGTCAAGGAAGGAGAAAGAAAAGCAATCCAGCAAGAAAATCTGTATGCTGCCAATACATCCAGTGAAATTACTTTCTTCTGAAACAATTCTAAACAGCTGGATAAGTATTATACATCTTAGCAGATTACTTCTGAAGGGATTCCAGAACATCTGTTCAAAATAAGTGTTGTTGTTTTCACTAGCTGTAGAAAATGTTTTACAAGCATACACAGTCAAAGAGTTATTAAAACAAAGCAGAAAAAAACTCAGCAGTAAATCATGAATGCTATATATGGCATGTTTCAAAAACCGTTTGGAAGAAGAGCTTCCGAGTCTCACATTAGCACACTCCTCTTGACCTCAGAAAGAGTTGTCTCAACTTTAATGAGTGGATTCTTTAAAGCAGTGAGCTCCTTTAGTGAATAGGAAGAAGGTATCATACTTGAATTTGGGGAAAACACATGAAGCCTTCTTCCAGATCATTTTTGAAGCCTGCAAAGCCCTAAAATATAACAGGATAAAAAGAAGACTGGCCCAAACTTGAAATATTAAAGCTACCCAGACAAAGTTAGTTTTATATGGAGCTTACTTTAGGTACACTAGCTTTCCCAACATGAAGTTTTTCAAATGGCTCGGCTTTTGACAATGTAGCTGGGAAGATTATGACAGTTGGAGCTCAGCTTATCCACAGGACATCAGATGGAAGAAAGCTTAGACAGAGAGCAAAGTTGTCACTTTAGGCAGTAGATTTAGGATGTTGAGAAAGGGCAACAAAATGATAATTATGTAGTTAATGCTACTGCCAAGGAAGTAGCTTTTCTGACTCATGTGCCAAAATTAGCATGCAGCTCTTGATTTGCTGACCTTAACTTAGATGATAGCAGCAGTTATTGCTTCTCTTCCAATGCCTAAATGCCTTGAGCCTTCCCTGAGGCACTTGAGGTCAACTTATGTCCACCAGAAGATTCAAAAGCTCCTCTGTATGTGTGGAGTGATATCAAAAACAAGCTCCTCCACTCACAATTGTGTACAAGACAATTCTGCAAATATAAAGGGATATGTGAAAAGAGGAGAAGAAGCTCAGGCCAGAAAGCTCATGCAGGATGGGAAAACGTTGAGGAAACCAAAGGCATTTTCTTGTTCACTCTTTGGGATCCACATTTAGCAGACCATATGTCCATGAGTAGAACTAGACCCATTAAGTGCATCTAAAAGCAGATGCTTTAAGTCCAAAAGGACAAATAAGCCATGCCAAGGACGTTACATGCTATGAAAGAAAGGTTGCACCCCTGAGCTTTATATCTCATGACAGGGAGAAAGGAAGAGAAGGAAGGGAATACGATTTTTCCTGTAGCAAGCAGGCTAAACAAGAGAAGCTAAGATCGTTTCCTCCCTTGCAGCTTCTGGCAGTTTCTGGAGTCATCCAACCCTTGTTGTGGCAAAATAAGTAATGAGGACAGTGTTTATATCACTTCACTGATGGCTGGGTGATGGTAAGAACATGCTGTAAGTCACTAGTAGGTAAATGGCCTGAGAATATCAATCTTCCAGTCAAGGGAAGACAGAAGAATGCAAGCAAAGCACAAAGAAGGAGCCCCGTCCTGTCTTCTTCTACTGCTAAGGCTCCTTAGTGCAGAGGGAGCAGATGCTTCCACCAGAGCAGTGTTTCTCAACCTTGGCAACTTTATGATGAGTGGACTTCAACTCCTGTGGCTGGTTGGGGAATTCTGGGAATTGAAGTCCACTCATCTTAAAGTTGCCAAGGTTGAGAAACTGTGCACCAGAGGCTAACAGGTGTAAAGAACGTTCTGTGGCTTGGTTGTTCACTGTTTGCATCTGTTTTAGCAATGGTAATTTAGTAATTAGTAATTTAGAGTTTTGGATTTATTTTAGCAATTGTAAGCATCTCAAATATCTCTAAAGACAATTTGGAGTGCCTTCATTATAACAAATGGGGAGTTCAGTTTTATTACATATGAAACATTTATATATTGCCCTCCATCCAATACATTCCAGAGCAGTAGACAGCAAATGCATCATAAAACAGTGAAAACCATGACAATAACAATAAAATGAGACAGGCAGCAGCAAAAAATATAAAAGAGGCTGATACGTTTTTCATATTAAAATGCCCATGAAAATAGAAATATGCATAGTCCAGTTTAAGCAGGAGTTCAATAGATGCATTAGAATATTTTCTGGTGTCTGAATCAAAACCTTTTGCTGTACCTGGGTTGGTATAACAAGAAGAGGGAGAGAAGTTATGGGATGTATGTGAATTTGATCAGCGCAGGTCACAACCATTTGAGTGACAGCTTCAGCTGTCTTGCCTTCTCCCCCCCGCCCCCCCCCCCCAGTTTGATTGTGCAGTGTGATACCCACCTCTGACACACAGTAAACACAGCCTTAGGAAAATGACAAGGATAGAACCTAAAATAGTTCATTAAAATTAACGCAAAGCCTGAGGCACTCTGAAATTGGTCTACTTTTTGCAAACTATTTTCCATAATAGAATACATTTTTGTACATTATTTTTATGAATAGATGCACTTTTACGT